AAACAGCTCGTTTCGAAAACAAGGTGAAGCCATATCCTTGAAGTTTCGTGTTTACTTCTTCCTTCGCTCAATAATTATCAAACGTGGATGAAACCGCAAATATTAACCAACATTTCATCTAAGAACACTAATTATAGCTCCAAATTTAATACAGTGAGACTGTTCGAATCTGCGCTACATTTTATCACGATGAATGCGACTGAATTCTCGGGCTAATTCAAATGCATCGGCCATGGTCATGTACTCAATCTGCCCTCCAAAGGATCAAATAACATCTTACATACCGTGGTCCGTCCAACCCATATTAATTTCAATCCGGTGGTGGGGGCGATAACAGAGTGATTAGAGGGGATTTCGGTACACCCAACTTGGAATAGATTCCACGCATTTTCGCAGCTGCCAGATTCATTTTATCGCTCGTGCAGTAGCTACCGAAATCAGTTTCCCTCGCATCTGTTTTTTCATATTCATTCTGTTGTTTATGCATCTTTTTCTGTTTATTCACACATTTATTTGTTATTGAAAAGATAATTAACTAGTCATTTTTTCTACTTCCTTTGAAACAAACAGCTGCATTTAATTCCTTACATATGTATTTTAAGTTTTCATAACGAGAAACCGAAATACACCAGTAATTGTGAAAGTTATTGCCCAGTATAATTTTTGTGCAAGCAAGATTAACAGCGTATGGTTGTGTTTTTTATACAATCTGGGCAAGCGACCATAAGGCATATGGTCTCTTGGCCTGGGTTATTCCAGTACTCTCAGACGTATCAAAGCCATTAAGTAATCTCTAGGTTATTGTTCAAAGCTTTTGACCAATTTTAAAAAATCATTTCTTAGAAATTAAGGGAAAATCTATCTTATGTTTAGAACTAGTCTAGGGCTGAAACCTCCTCAGAAAAATGAAATGTTATTGGAAAGGTTTACAAACAGAATTTTGAACAAAGAGAAGATGCTTTAAAAGAAAACAATATTGGTTTCAGACGGCAAAAAGTAGAAATACCCGCAGGTCTGATAGGAGGGGTTATAAACCACCCTAGACTTCCCCCCCCCCCAACCTGGATCTGCCATCGAACGAAGTTCTTTAGGATGCGAAGACCAAAGGAACGGGGTTCAGGAAAGGGGTAAGTTTAGACGAAGACGTCGATTTTAGCAAATGCGACAGACATTATTCTTCAACCGAGGATTATAGTAATGACGATGTTTGTGACGTCCTTTGAGGGAAATTTTCCGCTTTTTAACAGTTAAGTGTTAGAAATTTCTCAAGTTTAACTGTTTCGTGTTTTTCTTTTCAAAAAAGGTAATTCTTGTAACTCACCAGTTCTTGTCCACGTTTGAACTCTGTTAATAAGTATTTATCTTCTCAATTATTCTATCAAGGTGAATCTTTCAGAATATCTCGATTACCACAACATTTGACCAAATCTCCTTAATATTCTAATATTACTTACTGGTTTGACGATATCAATTTGAAACAGATGTTAGACATCATTAACTATAGTCTGAAAAGAATAAAAACTTTCGAATTAAATTTCCCCGCAGCATCTGGTATTTGTTTATGCTTTCTGCGGTATAAGAATCTGTTCGTTGTTCCGTCTTTTTTTCTTCTTTAGAGGATTGTAATCAATTGGTTTCCAACCCATTTGATTTCTTCTTGAAATATACCGGAGATTAACAAATATTGTATTTGCTAAGACTCTTGAGGGCGTAACGCGAACATCTTGGGAAAGACGTCAATGTGTATTTTAACAGTAACGTAATTACAACATTGCGCAAAAACGTGGAAACTTTTTGGAGAGTTTTTCGCAAAAAAGGGAAGAACTGCGTGGTTTGAATGACAGCAAATGGTGACACGAGTATGACATGTCCGTACAGAAGGGTTGACAAAGTCTTGGGGAAAATCTCTATGTTGGTTTGCCAGGCGGTAACAATATAAACTGATATACGGACTCCATTATCGTCGGCAAAAGTTATTTACCTCACTCAGGGAGAAATGTTTTTGAACGCAAATGCAAATCATGATTTGAGACTATAAATTACTGATTACGTTTTCTCCAAAAGGACAGATGTTTACTTTCTGCAATCAAAAAATATGATCTCAGCGCAGACCAACAAGTGGTTTTCACTTTTTTGTAATCCCTCGTCTGTTGGCTATCTTTTACAAACGTCAGAGTTATGTTGATAAAAGCTAGAAAATAAGCGACTGGCTTTTGTTAATTTGTGATATTCTTACATGGGCCGATTTTATGACTTTAAAAATTCGAGTCCCCCGGCAATTTTAGAAATCTCGCTATATCTACAGCACACATATCAATATTTTATCATCCTGTATTTCTTACCAATTTCGTCGGAGAGACGTACAGCTTGAGAGAGTTTTTGACTTTGAATGGGAAAGAAATGTGTTCATGTGATCATTTCTTCTCTAAGTGAACTCATGTGTAGCTAAGTTCTCAGCCTGTGATTTAGCGCCAAAACACGGCTAATAAAATGTTAATCAGCATTTACAGTCGATAAACGAATATCACTTACAGAGGCCGCTGATTCTCTATAAACAAAATGTAACAAAAACTGGATAAAAAACTAAATAAAAATGAAACTGAAGAACTATTGAACAAAAACGAAATTTGACACCCACTTAATTTCACACGCGACGCTTTTACATAAAAGAAGTTCATTAGTCAAATTTTCACGATTTCTAAATCCTTAAGCATCGATTATATTATTAAAATTATTTGTGGATTTTCAAAAATTCGGAGAAATTTCTTGATGGGGGACGACTAGAAACAAACGAGAGAGAAGTGAAAGTTTCTCTTGAAAAGATTCAAACTCGAAACAAAGAAAGAAGTAGAAACGGCGAACGCTTGCCACATCAGTGACAATTCAATGGATGAATGACTGAAGAGCGAAGTTAATAGCATTTTGCGCCGTGCCGTACAATATATCTAAGCTTATATTTTCACCTTAAAATATTCGTCACATTTCGGGAACAAATACTGATTTATCCGTAACACACTTTCTGTATTTTTTTGCGGTGAAAGAAAAATTGAGATGGAAAATGATGGCTTAATCATCGCGGCGTTTTGACCGTAAACTCTGTTTGTATTGGTTTGAATAATATACTTTGAAAAGAGAGAAATGTTCAATTGTTGCCAAGCTTTCGTTCGGTACATAATTCATTGTTTGGTGCACAATTTTCCGGCACAAAAGAGAGAGAAAAACAAAACAATAATTTGTTACCTTTATGTAACGAGGTGCTTCTTGCCCATATTTCAAATCCTCCTGCTTCGAGCTTCGCTTGACGTCTTTACAGAATTAGCGTCTAGTCGCTGAAGAGTTTTTAGCATCAGGTGTTTTGGTAGAGCTGAACTGTTGACTAAATCACCCACTCTCCGGAAAGGTCGATTCCCAATAGGAAATTACCTGACCGCAAATATTATAGATAAAACAGGGATTACAAAACGCCAGAAAATTCATTCCTCAAAGAGCCCATCCGCCCGCATTTTGGTCGGGATGGTTGAAAGAAAATTTAAAACTGTTTCAACCGCGAGTCGTTAACGGTCAAAAAGTTCAGCTGGACTATTTATGTTGAAAATAATTTATTCTTTTGTCTTGCACTTGAGTATTGTTCGGTCTTGTTTGATTTTGCTCGATATCAAAGGGGCTCGAGGCGTGACGCTTTTTGTTTATACATCACCACGAGAGCTATTAGAAGATCAGCTGTAAATCGGTCGCCGGTGAATCGTGAAGACACAAAAAAAACTGAATAAAAATCGCGTTTGACTTTTTTTATCATTGCCAGCTTTTCAGAAATAAATTTTCGTTCGCACTTTTACCTTTTCTTTACAGCTGAATTCAGATCAAGAAATAAGTTTGCATAAACTCATAGTGTGAATATCAAGGCGCACTTCTGAATTATTCAGTTGTGATTGATGTGTAACAGATATTCAGGAGAAAACTTAGACTGTAAATTTAGAGTTAATTTGCAGCTAAAGGCATCGTCTCCGTTGGGAACAAGTGTACTGAGAATTTTTGTGGTTTAATTAAAAATTAAAGAAAAAAAACGTGGGTTTCTAATTGAGAAATGATCTTTCATTTGTAATCTTGTTGAAAACATAAGTGAACCATTCCAATATCATATATTTTAGGGCAGTATTTAAAATCCTCTTTTTTTTTTCATGTACAATTTTGTAATTAATCCCTACGATGCGATTCTAGACTGACTGTATGTTGTTTGCGTCCCGGCTAGTATAAACCATGAATTGCCTGAAGCATAAAATTTATAAATTTTTTAATCAGCTAATCTTTGTATGTTCAAAGAGCAACTGATGGTCGACGCGGAATCAAAGATGCGAGACTACACGCTCATTTAAAAATAATTCCCGCGTGGGGCTCACGAGCGCGCGTGTTTCATTTCTTTTGTTTTGCTGTGGATGAAATATTCAGGTTGCAGGGGTTTCCTCCGAAGATTATCGGCTACGTCTTTCAGATAATTTTCTACTCCTTGAGTGGCAGTTTATTTAGCCTTTTTTTTTAGCCCCTGTTTTTTTATAAGCTTTTACTTATGAGGCAGCGCTTCGATTCCTGGCAAACGTTCTTCGAAGTAACAGTTAAGAAAAAAAAGGCGAAGTGAAAAACGCTCATACCCTGGGCCTCATCGCTCTCTATGCTTTTCATCGAGGAACAAGGATTAACTGTTCGATCGTGGGGGACGGGGGAGGGGTGGGGGTTGCCGGGAATTAAGAAATGGCTTAAACCGCTGCTCTACCCAATGTAACAGCGGGCTATTATTCACATGGCGGGAAGGACGCGAAATGAGATGTCTAGAGATAGAAAATATTCATACCATGCAGATTCTTTGGATTCGTAAGTTCAGTAACCACTTGAATTATATGATTTGTACACTGCAGACCAGGGCGAATTCCTCCCGAATGATCGCTCTCAGCCCCAGATACCCAAGGCTAAAGCACGGCCCTTCAAGGAAGCGGCTGAGTTCGCAATAACAACAAAAACAATCTTTATTTCATTTTTTATATTCTTTATTCTTAAAATAAAAGTTAGTGCTAGTCTGGAGGCAGATAGCTAGTGCTCATCTAGGCGGGCCAGTCTTCAAAATCTAATTTGGCCTAATTTATGAATCCGAAATTACTGAATATTTTATTACATAATTACTTAGAAAAAATACCATTATAAATGATAAAATAAGCAAGAGTGAGAACGGACTACCACATTTGGTCCATTTTTCCTTCCAGCACAAATGTCTCTACTTGTTAACTTTGCTGGTTTTACTAAATTTTGCGTTCCCACCGCTAAAAAAAAACAAAACAAAACAAAACAAAGGAAAGAAAAAACTACACAAGCGAGCTATGAAAATATTTCGACTCCTTGTGGTGAGAATCAAGAAACACATTAGTTTGGGGGATTACTAGCCGATCCAATACCAAATTTTCCGAACTAACATCATAAGAATTTTATGGTAGAAAGTAAGGAGAATTTCTAATGTGATCTAAGAGTGGAAGGGTTAAAGTTAAAGAGCTGACATTCACTTTCGCCTCGCGATTTTACTAAATTATCCTGGAAGTGAGTGATACGAATAGCTAAGCTTATCCGCGGAACGTGATATCGGATTATTCATTTCATTGAAAGGAAAAAATTACTCCAAGTTCCTTTGAAGGCGAAATTCTTTGCTTGCGTGACAGTCGCAGATAAGTCACGAACACACGGATCATTTGACGTGACTCGCGTGACGCTTATAGTTTCAAACATTCGTCACGCCACCGGAGCTTGAAATTTTATGGCAAATTACACAGTTTATTTCCATGTGAGAGTCTTCATACTGTCCAAAGCTTTGTCGTACCTCAGTTTCTTTCCTTGAGCTGTCACGTACAGTTTCTCCTCAACTTTTTTAAGTCCCAGCTCACTGACGGCAACAGAGACGGGTCCTTTCTTCCCTTTTGGCTCGTATCCCTTATCAAATGTAATTTGAGTATCTGACAATGTGCCTTGGATATGTTTGGGCAGCGAAATCGAGGCTCCCCTAGCCATCTTTACTCCATTAGGGCCCACTTCCGTTATGGTCCCTTGAATGGGCCTTCGCAGGTGAACATGGAAAACCCCTTCCTCTTCAATCCAAACCCACTTTCTAATAATCGGTTTTGTAGGTAGAAGTTTGTCGAGAAGCTCGGCCCACTGTTCACCAAATTCACCGACATTTTTCACATCAGCAAGCGCGCGTGTTCGTTCACCGTCGGACTGCGCGCGGATTACTTCGGGATCTCGCGGTTCAGGTTCGTAAAATGGCGGTTCTTCTGTATAAATATCTGGCTGAAGCTCAAATATGGGGACATTCAAGTTAGCCTGCGATATATCGACTCTCGTAGGAGTGTTAAACTTTCCAGTGAGGCTACCCTCCAAGACCGTCAGGCAGTGCAGCAAGCCAGTCCAGTTACATTCTCTGACGGCAGAACGCCACAGAGGAAGCTGAAGAACGAACGAAAAGGAGAATGCAGAGTAGTGGATGTACCCCTCCAGCACGAGCAGCAGATTCGTGCCATTGCACTCCATACTGGTAATATCCCAAAGCTTCCAGTCATCAGAATCTTGACGCTGCGCATATCGAGTGTCCTAGAGAAACAAGAACTTTTTTCGGTAATTACTTATAATCAGTGGGTCTTCGTTAACTGTTTGTCAAATTCATGTAAAAAGTTGCATTGAGGAGCGTAAGCCCTTGAAAAATAGTCGTGGCACGCGAAGAAGCACCAGTTTAACGTTCGTACATCGCCGAGCAAAATTTTGCAACACATAAAAGGTCTGCAACCGAAATCTATTCTCACGGAACGTTTTTCCACGAGACTCCCTGAGAAATGCGTTGGAGACAAACGTGTGATTTAACCCTCTACATACTAACTTTAATATTTTCATTCTACTCACTGTTCTCTTAACGTTTCCTGTAGTACCTTTAATCATAAAACCTTACCAGAGCAAAACGTTTTCAAAGACAACACATTTTTCCCGCTCGTTTCAAGAAATACATGATGGTTAATAAACATAATAACTTCAGCTTGAAGTAATAATATGCTCGTTTATTTTTCGCTAGACATAACATCTGTTCATTTTCAGGTCCTCAAACCTAACTGTTCACCCGGTTCGAGTTCACCTCTGGGGAAATGCTCGCTTATCAGAAAAGATGTTCGCGGACAATAATGCGGCGAATTGAGGCTAATTTTTATGTATTGAAATGTGACTTCTACAAAATAAAAATCTCTCTTACCATATGGTCATCCATGTAATAAGGTGGGGCAGGCATGGCGGAACCAATGAATTGCCTTCTTTCAGCTTCCGAGTTTAGGGCCGCGTCTTTTAACGTAATAACGACTGAGTTGTCTGAGGAAGACTGACTCCCATCTGTGGACTCATCTTTAGTCACTGGGGGTAGGGGTGGGGGAATCGGATCATCTATCCCCTCGTCTATAACCACATTGTCAGTTACTGCTTCAGTATATGGGGGTGGGGGGACAGGAGGAACTCCATATGGCCCCATGATGTTAGGAAACAGATCATCATAAGCAGGGGGACGGGGAAGGGGAGCTGAAGTACTTGGTTGTGCTTCAGCTATCTGTCCTTCCTCTGGGGGAGGTGGAGGGAGTGGAGGGGCCGGTACTTGGAGGTGTGAATAAACTGACGGGGAGACGGAACGGTCAGCCTTCTGCGCTTCGTAAACGTTCTTCACCAGTCTTCTCCATTGAGAGCGGCCTTTGGTCCAGGAGTTTATCATGTAGTTTTCCTGAACCAGTTTTGCTTCCAAAGACAACAGCTTTTGACGGAACGTTCTGCGCTGCTCTTCTACGGGAGTTCTTCTTCGATTTCTGAGGAAAATTGATACCAAGAGAGCGACGAGTACCACTAAGAGACAGCCACCAAGGAAAATAACGAGAGGCAGAAGAGAGTCGGGATCGTTTCTTATTTTAGCAACCAGAGCTGCCCCGGCTGCGCACGCGGCACAGATAAAAGTCACCGCGCGCCATATGTACAACACAAAAGAATTTGACAATTGAAACTTGAAAATCCTCTTGAATGTCAGGGTGAAAATAATCGCACCTAAATTTGCCACAAGTAGAAGCGACAACACAATCATATGATGCTCCGCAGCTAAAACGACCACACCCACCATTAACGCTTTAACGAAATTAATGAAGATGTTGTAAGCGGGGGAAAATTTTAAATCCTGGCCTGGGTGTTCTACATCGCCATATTTGGTCCCGAAAACGATGGCAGTGGACGAGTACCAAACCAATCCCAGCAGGCCTAAGAAGGCGATGGCCTTGTGACTTCCTTCCCAGCATTCCATGCTAGGTTCTTCGATCAGAACAACGGGCAAGCAGTAACTTCTACTTGAAGTGTTCGCGTTTACAGTTGAGTTAAGCTTGGGGCAATCGTTGGTCTTGCAGGCTACAAACGTAAGGAAACTCTCCACGACCGTTACAAATAAGGTGTTAGCGAAAAGCGACAGGAACAAAGTCCATCCCATGTGTTTTGCGCATGATCCCTTAGGTAGATGCTCCAGGACGCTTTCCAAGATCACGGGCGCGCCGCAGCAGAAAAACCATACCACGAATATAAAAAAGGTTAACCAGAGCTTCACATTAAAAGAAGCGAAGTTCAATAGCAGATATTGGGAAGCAGTTTTGAGAATACCTGCACCAGGCATTGGAAGATCACTTACCACGAACACTAACGCTAACAGTTGTAGTAGCTCCACGATTTCAAATACGATCACGTGAATGTTTGTCCAGTTGAATCGTACGTAGTCGTAAGGCGTTGGTTCGATTACGAGCGCGTCTGCTTGGCTATATACGTGCCTGTTGGGTGGATTTCTATACTTAAGCAAAATAATGACCATTATCACCAAAACCATCAACAAAATCACAGCAAATGCGCCGATTACGACTGTCAACGTGTCAGAGTCTATTCTCTGGCTGATGTAAAACGGTATGAGAAACGGAAAGGCCACGAAAATCACGTACAAGACAGCGGTGACGAAATAGGCGCAGTCCTTTGAAATCAAAAATTTCGTAATGGTCAAAAATAAATCCGCCGGCATCAGGAGACCAAAAAGAAGAGCAGTGAAGACAAAGCGGACACTCTCCCAGCTGAAAAAAAATCTAACCAGCTGAACAAGGTCTTCTAAGATCATGGCTGGATATCTTTTGACCGTCTCACGAACTGCGCGCCAACTGTGTTTGAAAACAATGTCTATTGTGATGTCGGTGATCAAGAAAGGCGCTCGATACAAGAATATCAGGACCAACACGATTCTGCAAACAGTCAACAGATCGTAAAAATACTCTTTACAAGAGCTGAACACTATGTTCCTCCGGTCATACCAGCGCCGGCAAAGGTTTTTCAACAAGGCAGGGCCGCGGTATATCAGAGCTACATTCAGCAGTGTAAGCACCAAGAGGACGAATCGTCCACTGGGGAGACATTTGATCAGAGTTTGTTGAGTCTCTTCACGCGAGCGCGTCTTGAGCCCGCATTCCTCACCCCACAGCGGCACTTTAGGAATGGTGTACTTTTCAACAGTGCGATATTGCTCGGTTACGTGACTCTCATATCGAAGCATCTCGTTTCTAAATTTTGCCAAGTTGTTGTTATGGGTGGAGAGATTGGGGTGGAGTAAAAAATTCCTTTCACATCTGTACAAGCGCAGCAGCTTGTTCACTCGTTTCTCCTCCCACCATTTGATCATATCAATCAAGTGGCCGAATTCTCCATCGAGTTCGTATTTTCTCACTTTGTTTCGAATCCACTCTAATTCCTCCAAATAATCTCTATTGACAGTGTGAAGATTATTCCAGAGCTCTGCCTCCGATGATCGATTTTTTAAACAAGTTGAAAAGATGCCTTCTAGCTCTCTCCGATTCTGGAAGCGCTTCTCCAGAATATCAGGGACCCACTGCATGTAGTGCCTCAGAAGGCGGTTCTTTTTATGTTCTTCGTCTTCCAGCAGATGCACCCAGCTTTGGATGGGCCTGACGCACATCAGAGCCACAAACAGTAGGACGAAGAAAATGTCCACTACCAACATGGCAGCCTCAAAGTAAACTGTAATGGCAAACTCCAGGAAGAAATTCCCAGATTGGATAAGCTTAGACAGTAGCTTGGGAAATCGCAAAATTGTAACAAATATGACAAGACAGAGAAATATAGCTGGTATGTCTATAAGCAAAAATGCAACATTCTTACAAATGGACTTTCGAATCTTCCAGGATCGTTCCTCCTGGGTTCTTGAATAGTACTTCTTGACATCACAAATTAAGGGGTATAACCTCCACAAGGTTACCATGACAACCAAACACAACAGAATGCAGACAAAGTCAATAAACAGCATTCCCATCTGGCAGACACAGTTTTTCCTGATTTTCCATTGGTCGCTTTTCCAGTTTCTGAGGAAGTTGGGAACTCTCCATAAGGTGATGAACACAATAATGGCACATAGAATACACGGAATATCCACAAATATCAACAGAAATTGTTCAACAATAACTTTTCGGACTTTCCACTGTTTTTTCTCTGTATGATAAAGCTTGTGCACCAAGAAGGGCAGTCTCCATGTTATTATGGTTAAAACAAAAAGCAGCAGGCAAAAAAAGTCAACAAAAAAGAAAACAAATTCGGGAAAAACTTCAAATCTCCACTGATTCCATTTTTTATAATTTTTTCGGCACTCATTCACATTCCTGACTAAAAATGGGGCACGCCATGTCATCATAACAAGCAGGCCAATCAAAATACAAGGAATATCAACAAAGAGTTGTAAAAATTGTATGATGCAAATTTTTCTCCATCCAAAGTCTCTCCACTTGTAGTCCTTCGTTCGCAGTTTTTTCACAAAAATGCAACATCTCCACGAGAAGAAACAAACAATGGCCAGAGGAACACACAAAATGTCACAGATGAGACGAAAGAAATTCTTTCCAATGATTAAATGAAGCTCAAATGCTCTCACACCATAAATTCCCGCCCCTTCACTTGTGAAATCTTTTAAGTTCATCTTTGCCTTGATTTCATTGATGAGTGGGATGAGAATTAACCCCCCGGTAAACAAGACCATAAGCAATAACATGAGAATAAATGGTATGTCCACCAGAAAGAACAAAAAATGGACAAAACCTACACACCGCCATTCCACCATTGAGTCCATGTGGTAGAACTGCATCATCATAAAGGGTAGTCTCACAATGGTTAAACAAGCAAGGATGTTGAATATTAACCCAAACAAATCTGCCAACCGCTTGGCAATAAAGAGTGCACAAACACCCAGGCTCCAACATACTTTCTGAACAATGTAAGCAATGCAGTCCACAATTTCTGACATCTTCAGGAAGTCTCACTTTTAGCTTCCAAAGGGTTGACAATATTTTTGAATGTAACTTGATATTATGAAGGACCTAGCATTAAAAAAAGAAGATTACACATCAGAAGATGAATAAATCTTACAAAACAAACTTTTATATTATCTAACAGTCATTTACTGTGGTCAAGTATGAATATCAAGACTGACGTTAAGCTTGTAATATACAAAATGTTATTTGCAAAATTAGAAGTTATTGGAGAATTGTTCTGAATTAATTTATAGATACTGTTAGCTTTAAATACAATTTCAAAAAGTTAGGTGTAGTTAAAGGGATGTTCAAAGGAGTGTAATGTAGGGAAGGAATAACAGTGTCACAAAGAACCTTGTTTTCAAGATGTGTTGTAATTTTTAACCAAGCTTGCTTATAATTATGTTTGAAAAAAAAATTTTAACATTAGTGGTTTCAATGTTCTTTTGTTTTTCTCTCACCACATTATGTAACAAAGTGATAATTAGATTACCCTCTGTAAGTAGCACAATTTATCGTCTATTTGTTTATTTGGAACCAACACAGTGATCAGCTCCCAGTTGGCTTGTTAGCTCAGTTGTTAGAGCACTGCACCAGTATCACAAAAGTCATGGGTTCAAATCCCATACAGGCCTGAATTTTTTTCAGGCCCTCTTTTCGCTATTGCTTAAGAAGTGTTCATAACTGCAAAGATTGCTTTCATATTCACACAATTAGTAATGTAATATACCAGAAAAAGTGTAAGATTTTTAATTGTATATCGATGGGTAATATTCTTAATTAAACACCAATCTCTCAGGGCTCAAATCATTAGAAAAGTATAACAGTGAAGAGAATTAATATTTGGATCTTGGAGTAAAAGAATTCACCCTTAACTTCCAGGAGTGATTAATTTGTAACTTCTCTCTAAAATATCTATACATTATCTAGCAAACAGGTAATGAGAATACTCAAAACTTATCACATAGAAGATATCTTCATCTAATACCAAATTCTTGTAACTTACTTACAAGGTTATGTGAAGCTACTAGAGGGGAAAATTAACGATCAGATCTTTGGGTTTAAAGGGTTAAACAAGAGACTTGACTGACGCGCCTTCCCGGACAGTCATCTTTGGGGGAGTGGTTGACAAATTAAATTGACTAATTTTTAGCCACAAATTAATTAATATTTTTCAAACTTTAGATATTGCTCTGTTTCTTATTTCTTGCAAAGTATGAATAACTACATGACTGGTCAGAAGTGTTTACCATACCGAATTCCCGACTATGATCTCTGCCCTTCATCGATCGAACCCTAATTTTACTTAGATATAAGATCCAGTTTGTTCTTTCGAAATAAATCTTCAGCCAATATGTAGCAAAATAACGAATCAGATGGCTAGTGCGATAACTCATTACATGTTGTGATCCTAATTTATTTCAAAAACTTCTGTTTTCCTTCGTGAGATTTTTCACGTTCTTTCTTTGACACTGGCATCGAATTTGTAACAAGCATCTCGTTCATCAACAAAGGGTCTTCCAAGAGCCTTCAGAATGTTACACATAAAATTACCTGAATTGTCCTCTATTATCCGTGCGATGGAGCACTGGCAAGTCTGAAGTAGAATTCTAACTCCAGAAACAACATTCAAATGTACAGCGATACTGAAACGAACGGAAAAACTGTACCCGGAAAATTGCTACGGGCAGATGGACGTCAAATGTTATTAGACGCGCGCGTAGCGACGACGAAAGATGTTACTCTAAGAGGCATGCCGCTGACAGTATTTTACATCTTCTAGGGAAACGCTTTGGATGGACGTTGCACAACCAAACTTGCTACATGTATACATCTCAGATTTTCAAACAAACCAAACATGGGTCTCGTAGGTCTCAGAATCTCGCGATTTCCGGGATTTTCATTTCGCCACCCGGTAATATGAAGAGAGGACGCAAACACACTGGGGCTGAGTTCTTTTTCGCGCACGTGTCTCGCGAGTCTTCCCTTTTATAAAATCAATTAGGAGAATATCATTTGCTCTGAAAATCGCTCAGAATCTAAAAGGAGCTACATGAATAGTTTGCTTTCTCCTTACATGGAATGCCATAAAAGGGAAACCTTCCCCCACACCTTCCTCCATAATTAAAAACGATGAAATAATTAACTATAGAAGATGACATATGTAATGTCGAAACATGTTTTGCAAACTTAAAAATGTTGTTCCTTTGAAAAGAATGATAAAAAATTTAAGAATCTAAGAACATTGCAGATATCGGCTTATTTGCGTTAGCTAAGGTTTGCTCCCTTATTTCAACAAAGAGGGCTTTTTTAAGTGAAAAGTACGCGGTCTAGTTTTAACCGGAAGTACACAAGCACGCACCCCTCCCAGCTAGGTAACCTGTCACGCCGTTCCATGCCATCACTACCGGAAATAGCGTCATTTTGTCGCAAACAGTTTTCGTCAGCTTGTTGAATTCGAAATGTGTTAGGGCAGTGTAGGTTTCTGAACAACTTGTATTGTTTTTCCAAATAATTGTATGCTTAATTTTGAATAGTCTTGGAAAATAGGACATTTTCAGACTTCATACCGGAAACGACATCTGCAACTCTCGAGAGCATCGGCTGCCTCGCATTCGTGTTGTTCGCCATGTTTTTGTCACATGGACCGCCAAAGTGCCGTAATGGCTGTTCTTGACCCGAATGAAACGAAACAGTTTTAGGGCCGTGTTCGAGAGAACGTGGACCAAAGTCTGCCAAATGGTTATGACCACAGACTTACCCTGCACTGGAAACATGGATCAAAACCAAACGAAAACCGATGCGCCCTTTGTGGGAAACAAATTGGCGACGGGTTCTGCTAGCTCGCGATCGGAACGGCAGGTTACCCGCGTTTTGCGATCGAAATCTTCGATGGCTCTGAAAAATGGCAGCAGTAGCAGTGATACACAGAAAGAGCAACTACAACCCAGCACTGATGTGCCGTTAGTTAAGCCGTCGGAGCCAGAAATCGCTTGTGACGGTAGCAACCATAAGATGGACGTTGTCGGTGAATTAACTCAGTTACGGCAACTTTTGTTACTGCATTTGGAGCTCATTCAACAACAACAGGAACAATTGCAGATGAAGGATCGAGAGATTAATAAACTAAAAGAAGACAAGGAACAGGTATAAGCACATTTGTGTTCTGTTTTCATAATGTTTTACTGTCTTAAATTTCTGCATACATAAAACACAGAATCGCATAAATTTTATTTTTGGAGAGGTCAGCGGCAGATTCAAACATGGCGCTCATAACAGGTCACGTGGAATAATAAATTTGTTGCGCTCGAGAGATGCCACATGGCAGATTTCTTGAATTTAATTTTTCGTGTGAACAATTCCTTTCTTTTTCATGTTTTCGGGTAGAAAGGCTCTCTCAGAAGCCTTAGTCTTAGACCATACGTACAATTATCACTCTGAATTTGCCCTGTTAAGTAAATGTGTTTCAAATTAATCAAGTTTCGCGTAAATTTCGTGTCCCTCTTGCAATATCAATACAGTAATATCAACCCAATAAGTGATGAGAATAAGGGGATTGGTTCGTCCAATAAAAAAATTCTCTGTACTAAAATTTTAAGAATGTTATGGCGAACAGTAAGGAGAATTACCAATGACATCTGAGAGTGAATTCATGTTGTGTAATGTTTGTTTTGATCGAGTTTTGCGATTTATCTTTTGCTGAAAATAAGCTTTTTTTAGGCAGGCAGGTGGTTGGGATGCGTGAATTAGTGGGTTAGCGAGCAATAACAGGCAAAAAAAATTGAACGAGGAAACACCAACACAAATAATTTTTGGAGAAGTGACAATTTTGACAACTTCATTCATATATCAAAGCTTTGAAGTAAACTAGAACCCAAGAGTATGATTTTGATTATTATGATTATTATTCTAATGGTAAATATTTTTGCTCTTTGATGTTCATGAATTTTCTTCCATGCTTGAGTCATGATTCAGCCAGAGTACCAAAATATTTCAAGTGCCTAACTCAACTCTATGGACCTTAACATTAGTGCAGGGCGTGAAATTGCGCCTAATACAGGCACCAATGCGACTAAATTTTTCACTTTGGCGACCAAATCCTGGAAATTAGTCACCAAATTGGCGACTAGAATGTTTCATCATAACCTTACCAAGAGATATAGTGAATTAAAAGGATTTGCAAAGATAAATCCGCGGCGAACTTCCTCGTTAAGTTTGTTTCCAAAACGCAACACGTGCATCTCGATCGATAACTAGACGCCATCTTGGATTTAGGTGAGCTTTAACGTTGTATATCGTCCATCCTAGTGTCCACTTTGTAGCACGTTAAAGATCTTTTCCCAAATTTAATTTTGGAGGGTCTATCTAGAACGCCGACAGCTTAAAAAAAGGTTTTGTTTGTCTTTGAAAATGGCGACCAACTTTTTTCCACTTGGCTACCACTTTGAAGAATTTAGGAGCCAAGTGGCTATCGAAAAATAAAAATTAATTTCATGCCCTGTTAGTGTGAAATTTCTCCATACTGTTCTACATACATTCCTAAGGAGCTTGCAAGAAGAATTTTATTTACAATCAAGAGCTTCTTAATATGGTGATCATTTCCTTTATTGTCAAGATCTTAATGTGTGATTCAGGGGTAATATTGTAGCGAGAAATTCGATGCTTGTCACTCTTATGGGTTGAAGGGTAAGACTAAGGAAAGATTTCTGTGTAACCCTAAATGCCCAAATGAACTATCTTTTTGTTTTTTGTCATTGTTTTCTTTCTCCAAGAACTATATGCATAATGAAGTGTGGACTGTGGAGAAATCTTGCCAAAACTTTTGTAAAATGCAACAAAATTGGCCATATCTTATTCTCTTTATATGGTATAACATTAAAAAGACTGAGTGAGCTCAGAAATGCGCCTATCAGAGCTGTTGGAAAAAAAAAATACTACATTGTGAGACAAATGGAAAACTTAGCTTTTATTGTTATTCACCACAATGAATAACCACAACCTTTTTTATGAAAAAGACTGAGTGGTTTCCAATTTGGTTTTTTACCATATGAGAAATGAACAATATGAGACAACCCCAAAGCAAGAGTCTAAGTTGATAATCAAAATTATGATTTCAGACAGAATTAGATGACAAACTCCTGTTGTCAATTAATCAAATCACAGAATTAAGGTGCTAACTGATCTATATGAATGCTCATATGAGGGAGGTAGCTGATTTTTTTATTAAGTCAATGAGTTTTTGATCTTTTAGTCTGTCATCTGAGTGAGGGTAGTCTGGAGAATGAATTTTGGTGGTGGTATGGACTAATGTTTCAACAACCTTAGTGGAAGTCATAATCAGAGTGGAGTCAACTCTGAAGATGACTTCTGCTCAGTTTGTTGGAACTTCAGTCACCACTCAGGGCGTGAAATTAATTTTTTTTT